ATCGTATCACCCAAGCAATATGTCAAGGCACTCCTCATGAGTTACATGGAAATAAACCTCTACCAACGTCTCTATTGATTAGGCAGCCTTCAGAACCGCAGCCATCACGAAAAGCAGGGCCCCAAATCTTCACCCACTGCGAAGTAAAAAAGCACTGCTGACTTTAATGAAGCTGCCTTGCTTTACATAAATGCATGGCTCCTATCTGCCTGGCAATCTGCCCGTGCTTAAGTGAGTCAGGAACACGGTGAAAGTCCCCATGAATCCCAAGATGGAAAATTTTAGACATCTGTAATACTTGGACATCTCATTATTAAATGACTTTTAAATAAACACACAAACCTGTCTTGTTTGAAAGTTTTCAGCCCAATTTATCTTCAGCTCAGCTGTGCTACAGGCTCCAGGCTCTCCTAATCTCAAAAGACAGAGGAATAGGTCCTCTTCCCTCCAGCTGAGGTTTACTACAGAACACTGAGCATCACTTGCCTTTGGGTGGGCTTTCTGTCTTGTCCAAGCATAAGAAAAACCCAACTGAACCCTGAGGGTTTAGCAGTAATCTTCACCACTTTCTGAAAGACGACCAACTCCAACCACACCAAAGCCAACAGCGCAACAGAGAAGAGCTCCTCCTCTTCCAGCATCACAGGTCGCATTTCTTGACTTCCAACATTCCTGCTGCTTTATCCTCAATCGTGATCAATACAAAACGTCTGAAGTGGACTTGTGCAATTCCAACACATCTTGGCAGAACTAAGTGCAAAGACTGTTCCATCAATCTCAGCTGTACCGGTCATCCTGCCCCATCCATCTTCATCTGACGGCACACACAGACCATCCTTTGTTTGATGAACCTTCTGACATTGGATTATTTGTGCTCTCTGGATGTATGAGTTCTTCACTGCAATTATGAGATTATGGATGTATGAGTTCTTCGCTGCATTAATTCTCTGAGGATTTTCGGGAATAAACTGCTGTCTGGAACTTCCTTCTGCTTCCCTCCATTCCAGAAAGACGTCCTCCAACAAGGGTATTACTCACAGGGAGCTGGTATGCCATAATAAAGGGCTATTAACTGGAGCTATGAATGTAAATTTATTTCCATAGTGCATTTATAAACTTGGAACAAGCCAGCACTATGACGAGGTCAGATGGACCAGTAGAAGGAAGACCTTGGGCATGGTCCATCTGATCCTCCTCCTGGGGCTATGTTTCCCATTGATTGAGTGAAATAGGGTTCAAATTGCCTCATCCAAAGGCAGATACCTAGAACAGCCTTTAGGATCTTTAGTAACTCAGACTTTCCTTTATTCATTTAGATTTCAGTCTCTTAACATCCTTTGTTACTCAGGGAAATAAGGACCATGACACAGGGTGACAGTGCTGTCTGTATCAGCTCAGGACCTTCAAAACAAGTTTGGAGAGCAAGGGACACAAGTGCCAAGAGGACTGCAAAGCATTTACACATCTCTTCTTGTCACAGTTTGCAGGGCTGTAGAGGTTGGAACTCTCAGACCTCTTCCTCCCCTCATTCCCCTTCTCATTTCCACTCATGGGAACTTTTGCTCTAAAATGGAAACTACAGATGACGCAGTGGCTGAAACTGTCACAAGGTAAGGATGACCACCCTTTTCCAAACTCATCCACACAAATCATACACTCATGTCAGCTGCTTCTACATTTTTCCCTTGAGCAGCAATGGCTGCCCAAGAAGAAAGCTGAGCCCAAAGCTGCTGGAATAATGATCACTTACAGACAGCCCCAGCTTTTATAGGGGAATCTGAGCATTGCTTTAGGATTTACCTCAGTTCAGGAAAAACATGAATCCAGGCCTCCCTCTCAAGAGACCTTCTTGCCCAGGCTGAGGAGGTGGAGAATCCGTCATGGAGAAACGGGCACGTGGCCCATCTGCTCCCCTGGGGCTGTGGGATTGCTCTCTCTTGGCCATAACATCCTCTGCTCCCCTCCTTTCCCTTCAGGACGCTGGTTGAATATTCATCTGTTCATCATCAGTGACTCAGGGCAATTTTTTTAAAAAATGCATTTGAAAGAGAACCATATGAAAATGAACCTCACCACCAAAGCACATTCTGTTCAAGTGACCTCATGCTTTGCTTCCCCAAACATCCCCTTAAGTCCAGGTATCACATTGCTATTTCAAATTGCCTCGGGGGCTCTCTGCCTCCTTGAAGACAAGTGGGAGGAAGCAGCAGGGATTTGCAGTGCACACATCCAGGATTTCCCTGCCCAAGAAGGAAAGCCCCCAGTGCCAGTCACCGTGCTGCATACCAAATGCTCCATCCCAGTTGCAGATAACAGGCAGCAATAGCCACGCTGCTCCTGTTCTTTCCTTCATGCTCCATTTGTCTGGCAGGCAATTCTCTGTTCACATCACCACAAAAATTACTTGTTAGCCTGTACCACAAGAATTGCTCTCTAGCCTGCAAACAGCATCTTGCTAGCTGGCTTCCACTTTCTGATCTCTGCAGGAACCGGCATAGGGAAGAAAAAAAAAAAGAAAACAACACTGAACACACCACTTGGCATCAGATAAGTGCTCTTTGTTTCTGAGCAATACGGGAACGGCACGGGATTACGGTAACGCGAGGATACTGCCTGCTCCAGCAGCAGAGCAGCAAAGTTCCTGCTGCTCCTTGGCAGCGTGGAGCTGAGTGCTGTGAGTGGTGCTGTGCTGCCAGGGATGCTGGAGCTGAGCCCCCCCCCGGGCACTGGGATACTGGGAACCAGTGTGAGTCATCACAATGCTGGTGGGGAAGGAGAGGAGCAGGGGGTGTGCAGGCAGAGAGTCCCACCTCTGCATGAAGAGAGGAGGCTGCTGTGCTGTGGGGCTGCCCATCCCCGTCCAGATGCTCAGAGCTGCGCCGTCTGCTACAGACTGAGGTGAGTGTGTGCTGGGGGGCACAAGGGGTGAGGGTGTGTGCTCTTTCTCTGCATCTTATCTCCCCACAGGCAGAATATCACCTGGTTGCTTTGGAGCATGAATATCCATCAGGCATTTTTGCTGCATCTCCTTGTCTTACCTTGAAGTTTAGTTCCAGGTGCTTAAAAATCAAGTTGGATGATTGCTTAATTTCCTTGTCCACCAGCACCACTATAATGACTGCAGTTAAAGTGATTTCAGATGCTCAGTGTCACAGCCTATTTTCATTGATGTGCTTATTAAAGTCTGTCATTTGGGGGTTGGAACCCACCAACCTAAGTCATTGTTTCATTCTATGGTCTCCTTTCTTGGAATTATCCTTCTACTCATTCCCTCTTGGGGAAAGGAAAATACAAAGACTGAATTTTGTTCCACTGCAGGGAGGGCAAATTCCCACAGTGGAATACCTCTCCACCTCCCTCCCCCATTCTCCCTGTTACAAACGGGGCATTGCAGAGGTTCAGGGTAAGAGTTCCAGATCTCTTTGCCCAAAGGAAAATGTTGTTTTGAGACCAAGCTCCATGACATTTCCTGCTGCTCAGTGCTGGAGGTGTGATCTGAGGAACTCATCCAAAGACCTGTGCTACAACACTCAGTCTTACCTTAGATTTAACTGGAGTGTTATTGCTGGAGGTTTTTCAGATGTCCCATCAATACTTTGGATGGGAACATTGAACCTACATGCAGGTGTTGGGAATGGCTTTCAGCTGACGTGCAGTTTCCCTTTGTAGCCCTGAGTCTCAGTTCCCAGCTTATCCTCACTTCCCCATCTGATGTACCTTTTCTCCATATTTAGTCAGCCGAGGCTGAGTTTGTCTTCCAGAGACATGAAATGTTGTCTCTCTCAGTAGGAAACTTGTCCCTTGCAGCATCTTCTGCTTGGCAGAAATTGCTTTTCCCTATAGATTTCCAAAACGGGCTGTTAGCTGGACTAACAAGTAGTTTGGTGTGTAAACAGAGCCACTTAATAAAGAAATCTCAAATTAAATTCCAGACTTACAAATCTGCCTCACAGTTTGTAGTCCCAAATTGTGTCCTGCAGGCTTCTCTCTCCCTGAGCTGCTCTCTGCAGGTGAGCTGATAGTTGGGATGGATTGCTGTCCTAAAGGAGAGCGGACCACTGCTGATAGCGCAGTAAGAAAAATCCAGGCGACAAAATTCACGTTGTTTTCATAGTTGTTAAACAATGCTGGGCCGAAAAAGGTTGGTTCCACCAGCTGCAGCCAGCATGAGAAAGGCTCCCTAAAATAGCTCCCCACTCTATTCTTATATGGGAACCATAGCAGTGAGCAAACGCTGCTTCTGGGAATCGCATTGTGCCTTTGTCTCTTCCAGGAGTTGATCATCTGAAAGGAGCACAGCAGCCTGCATCAACAACGTGGCAAACTTCACTCTCCTTCAGAGCCAGAAGTGGATGAAAACCAACTTCAAGGAGCCCAGCTGCCAGCTGCTTCACACGCAGAGGCTCTGATCGACCCTCAGACCCTACAGAGCAGTGGTGGCACACATCTCAAGTGACACTGCAACAGCCTCCACCAGGCCAGGCTTCTGCAAAACCTTTTTGTAAGACAGAGTCAAGGCTAGCAAAAAGTAATTTAAAGCACGAGTGACTATTCCTCTTTGGAGAAACCTGGATTTGAGACCCTATGGGATGCTTTTTGCTACTTAAATACTCACTCTTCCCAAGGAGACAGAAATGACTTGCACCTGTGATTCCAGTACTTCTCATCACATTATCCTGAAAAGCGGGAAAAGCAGCCTCAGTTTTATGTAGCCTCATTTCTGCAACCAGGAACAATGCAAAAGGGGTTAAATCTGACTTGCAAACAGTGGATTTTAGCTGTGCTGGAATGGTAAATATTTGGGAAGAAAAGTAGGCTTTCTACTATGTTTTTGGATCCTTCTCATTACTCCTGGTGCTGCACTGCTGAAACTTTCTTTAAAAATCTTCCACCCAGCAAAGCCAGGCAATGTTGCCTTTAGGACATTCTGAGGACTGATCCCATCACTTTTTCTACCTGAAAAGGGCGTGAAGTACAGTAGCCATTGCCAGTCACTCACCATGGTTTTCCTCTCTGGGAACTCATCCGACTGTTCCAACTGCACCCACTCTGCAGGGCCCGTGAACATTTCCAAGGCCATTTTGCTAGGCGTTATTCTAGGGGGGCTGATCATTTTTGGGGTTTTGGGTAACATTCTGGTTATCCTCTCTGTAGCCTGCCACAGGCATCTTCAGAGTGTCACCCACTACTATATAATTAATCTTGCTGTAGCTGACCTCCTCTTGACATCCACTGTCCTGCCCTTCTCTGCTACTATGGAGATTTTGGGCTACTGGGCCTTCGGGAGGATTTTCTGTAACATCTGGGCAGCTGTTGATGTCCTTTGCTGCACTGCTTCCATTATGAGCCTCTGCATCATCTCGATAGACAGATACATCGGGGTGAGCTACCCACTGCGATACCCCAGCATAGTGACAGAGAAGAGAGGCCTCCTGGCTCTGCTGTGCGTGTGGGCGCTGTCTCTGGTCATCTCCATTGGACCTCTTTTTGGATGGAAGGAACCAGCACCCGAAGACGAGACCATCTGCCAGATCACCGAAGAGCCCGGCTACGTGCTGTTCTCCGCGCTGGGCTCCTTCTACCTCCCGCTGACCATCATCCTGGTGATGTACTGCCGAGTGTATGTCGTGGCCAAAAGGGAAAACAAAGGTTTGAGGTCAGGGTTGAAGATGGAGAAATCTCGTTCTGAAGCAGTGACCCTACGGATCCACCGCAAAAACGCCTCCGAAACGAGCGGGGCCACGGCCAGTTCTAAGAGCAAGCATCACTTCTCAGTGCGTCTCCTCAAGTTCTCCAGAGAAAAGAAAGCGGCCAAGACCCTGGGAATTGTAGTGGGATGCTTTGTTCTGTGCTGGCTTCCATTTTTTGTAGTCATGCCTCTTGGTAAGTAATGCATAAACCCCTTCTACGGCCCCTTCCCCCAAAGGAGGGCCATGCGTTTGCCTGTGTTCAATAGAGCCGATCAGAAGAGCGCTGAGGGAATTGTTTTCTGTTGGAAAGCTGTCAAAAATCAAAACATGCATCAAAACTGAACGTGAAAAATGAAAGTGTCAAACCTAGCCAGGCAAAGGGAAGCTAAAATGCTGAAAAGAATGAAATTGATTTTGACAGCCTTTTTCCACATAGAAAATACCCAAGGACTTATTCCTGATCAGTTCTGCTTTAGGAATGGTATTTTAGGTGTTTGTGTTTATATTCCAGTTTGCAGCCAGTTCTTCAGGTGATATAAATTTATAAAAGGTCAACACATAAAAGTATTCATGGTCTAAGCAGCAGTTTACTGTTTGAGGACAAAACTCTCTAAGTGCTCAGAACCCATTAATTCCCCGCTATGAGAAATAATCAGCTCCCTAATAGAAGGTGTCATGCTATGAAATACCATATTCCAAATGAATGTATTTTTAATTTATCACCCATCCAGCCACAGCACAGCCGTGAGGATCCTCCAAACTAATTTTACACTTCTCTGGTTTGCATCCTACGTGGAAACCCACTGGGCACACTGGCCAAACACCGGCTGCCGTCTCACCCTCCGTGCTGAATACAGATATTCATTCTTCAGCCATAATTCTAAAGGGGTGGGATGCGTTCTGCTTTGCTATCATGAAGTATAAAGTAATCAGAACCTTAATTAAACTTTGCTCAGTCACCTTTGATGTAGTTTCAGGATTCAGAACCAGAATGCTAATTTTATGACTGCATCTGAGCGTGGCACGTCACATAAAGTTTGCAAAGCGAGAGCTGTACTAAATGCTGGCTTTGGAAACAAGGAACCTTCCATCTGCCCTGTCCAACTACAGCAGCTTTTCTCGCAGTCTTGAGGCAGTATAGGAAAAATTAAGTGAGGCTGCAGGCTGCATGGAAATTTTAGCTACTAGTGCTACACTGAGTACAATGAGAAGGGAAAACGATGCTTACCTAAGCACTAAAAGGTTTGGGAGATTATTTTCTTTTCTTACACCTTACAAAAGACGTTGGGTTCTTTTTCAATTAACCTCTCCTGGATTAACCCAGAGCACCTGGTTGTTTCCCAAAAAAAACATCACAAATGTCAACACACACACACAAAAAAAAATACAGATTCACTCTCATTGGTCAATTAGATGGAGGTGATGGAGCAGGAGTTGGAGTCTGAGCTGTAGCAGTTGCATAAGGGGAGCTCTGGAAAGGCTGGCTCTGCTGCCCAGGGTGTCAGCACGTTGGAATGCTGGTTGCCAAGATGCCTGAAACATACCCAAAAAGGGTTTAAGAGAACACATCAAACACACTACTTTTCATCTGCTGTGCGGCTGCACACACGGTGCTGTTGTTAATTTGCTTTGGATTAGGAAATTTGCTTGATTGAAGACCAGCTTTGCATCTTGCTTTGATCCCTTATAAGGCAACTTTCTTCAGGTTATTAGCTTCCCTGTCTTCGTGGAGTTGCAATGTTGTTTTAAAAGTCTTTCAAAACGACTTGTTGATTGATTTGTCAGAGACAAGGAGCTGTTAAACTGACAAGGGGTGCAAACTAAACAAGAAAGCATCCTGAGGCAGGCTGCTCCACCCCAACCAGTGTCAAGATCCCCTCACTTATCAGTCTTGCCAGCTGGGAACCAAGGAGCAGCTAGAAGCACCTGGCTCACTGAAGTACACAACGAGCAGAGGTGGAAATGTTTGGGGTGTAGGTACAGGGAAGGCAGGAGTAATAAAAGGAGATTGAGAGTGGGATAAAGGCGTGACATCCAGATCAGCAGATACTGCTGAAAATAAATGGAGAAACAATTTGAGTATTCCTGCCACATGGCAATATCTTAATTGAAATCAGTGTGTAAAATTGCCAGTTGCAATCTATGTGAGTAATGTCTTACCTTCTTGGATCCCTCCATGGGAATGAGCATTATGTTCCATACACCTCCTCACTTGGCTTCGATGGTTGTGGAACAAGCCAACAAACAATGATCTTGTTGCATGGAAATAAATGAGGTTAGGGCACTGGCATACAAACTCAGCTTTCACAAAATGTCTCTAATTTGAAAGGCTGTCACAACAGCCCGTTTCCCCTGGAAGAAGACAGGTTTTCAGTTCTTTGTGTGCCTTCTCTCCCTCTTTCCATCTGATCAGTGGACCTGCTCCTGGTCGCAAAGTTTTCCTGTAGCAACTTCCTAGAATTCAGCCTATCCTCACAAACCAGTTCTAACTCAAATTGCAATTCTCGTGTTCCTGTTGCATTCCCCAAAAC